AAATGGTGTTTTTTTGTTTCTGCTTTCTAATTATCAGTTTTTAACTTATAATAAACTACACCAAACAGCCTCATATGGTTGGTTATAAAATTGTAATGGGTGAACAATAATCTATATATATATATATAACAAGGAAAAATTACCTACATGTCCTGTTTCAAGAGGCTATAATCTATTTAGTTCCATAACTTTTTGTGTAAACTCAAAAGTCCTAAGCCTCTTTCCTTCTTCTCATTTTCTTTCTGATATACACTCATCGGCGACTGGCGACTAGCAACCACCATCAGTTGAGGTTCACTAGCAACCATCGACCACCAACTCCTTGTTTTGCCCTTACTGACGGCGAATGAGATGAGTTTCGATGATGTTCTTGACATAGATCTACTTCAATCGGGCCAAGATCACAAGACAAGACTTATCGAAATGTTCAGATTTAGAGCAGATCTGAGTAGATCAACATTAGATCCGCCTAGATCTAAACCAAAAATGGTTGCCGGAGTACAATCTCTCTCTATTTCTGTCTCTCTCATTCGATCTTTCATTTTTTTCCTCTAAAACACTCTTCACTTTTCCTGTTTTAATGGAAAAAATTTTGAAGCACTAAACAAATATTTTTTGAATTTTAGTTATAAACGGTGAAGACTGCAAAATTTTACAATTTTGAAGATACGTTTCTGCCTTTTTGTATGACTCTGGACTTTTATTTTTTTTTCTCTTTATTAAAAAAAAAAATATTGACAAACTGAAAAGGTACAAACACTTACAAACTACTGATTTGATATCACCACCATCGCCGCAACGTGAAATTGTGTTTTGATAAATTGTAAAGGAGCAAACTGATAATTTTTGTATTTTTAAAATTCCAAATTTATGCCATTTTTTTTTGAACTGCAAATTTACGCAATTTGATGAGTAATAAGTTCAAACTCTGTATTTTTACAATTTTATAAACTGAAAATTATATGTTGTATATGAGAAAGACTACTTCTTCTTCTTTTTTTTTGGTGTGTTTTGTGGTATTGGAGAGGGTGAAGTTAAATTTTGCTACGTTTTTTCTCTAATTTCTCCCTTTCTTCTTCTTCTTTCCTTCTTTTTTTTTTTGGGAGGGGGGCGCGATATTCTAGACATTCCGGTGAATCACTAGCGATATTCTTGGTGTCCAGCGACGCTTTGGACATTTCGATGACTTCTGGTGACATTCAAAAGACTCCGGTGACTTCCGGCAATATTGAATATTCTAATGAATCTCCAGTCACTGTTAGACGGAAGTCTGGCGATGGTCCGACAATGGTGAGATGTGTCAACGTCTTTAAATTTAAAACAATTTTTTTTTTTGGTAACAATTAAAAATGTGTAAAATTAATTTGTGCAAATGTCTTGTTTTACGACTAAATAAATTTTAAACTTTATATATGAGACTTACATATCAATACCCCTTTAAATAAACTATATGTCACAACAAATAACCTCTATATCTGGTTCACACCAGTTCTTAATGTGAATCGGTCTTTTGCGTGCAATTTTTTTTTTATTATTATTATGGTATATCAGGCTGTATCCAACTTGGGGGTCTCCAATATGAAGTGACCAATTCGCTACGATGATTTACCGTGACCACAACTGGTTTCAAAATCTTGATAACCATCACCACTTTGAACGGTTCTTTATTAATGTTGATGTTCAATGCCCTCTCCATCTTCACTAATCAATATTAATTTTGGATTTTAATTGCGATTTATGTTTGTGACATGAATGTTCAAATTCAATAATGATGCTTTTTTTTTTTTTTTGAAATATTTTTTACTAGGGTTTTTGATCCTAATAATATCTGACGCACTTTACGTGTATGCATTATAAGCTTGGTTTACTTTTGTTTCACATAATTTTATTGTGTACCGCTTTACGTGTATGCATTATAAGCTTGGTTTACTTTTGTTTCACATAATTTTATTGTGTACCGGGAGATTCTGATTCACAGTAAATATCGTATGTAATGGTAATATCATGTGATAGTGTCACATCCAATGAATAATCTTAATTTACAATAAGAATCACAACATTGTTAGATTAGTAAGAGATAAAACTTTCTTTGCAATTCTATTTGTGATTTTTTATTAATCGGTGAAACAATATAAGATTGTATAACCGTACACTCAATACTTTCTCATGATACAGAAGGTTGAATAATACTTTGGTTCTCTAATAATTCATGTGTGAGTTGGCTTCATCTTAATCAGTAACAACTATTCATGAATCTTTTGACCTTGTGATATGGAATGGAAGCTTGAATTTTTTTGTTTTCATTTTACATTTTCCATTTTCCCTCATTTTAAATTATTTTTATTGATGTAGGATTAAAATTCAGGACTTTAACTCAGTCATACATACGTGTGGCATAAATTCAAATTTTTTAATTTTAACATGAGTTCATTATGTAAGATTTTGCTCTAATTGGACAAATTTTGACTATACCTTTAAATGTGAATTGTGATAAATAATGGGTATAATGTCAATTAGTTAATTTGTTTTTATAGAACTATCACCAACCACTATGAGTATAGTGTGAATTAGTTAAAATGTCTATTTCTATTAATTTTTTCAACACTAATGCACTAAGCATATGATTAGACGTTTTGTTACAACTCACACATTAGTTAAATGTAATTAGCCTTCATAGGATAGGTAAAATTCATTTGATTGACTCTTATGATTTACGATTTTTTTCATCCATTTTTGTCGTTGATCTGTCATTCCATAAAATGAGTAGTATTTGAATGAATAATTAAAATAAAAAGTAAGGTTAAAGTGAAAATATAAAAAAGTGAATAGACAAAATAAATTATATACATTATAGTAACTTTTTCGATAAGTGAAATGTCTAATAACAACTAACATGAAAAAGTCCTCAAAATCAAATTGGACACACAAAAAAAAAAAATTATTTTCTATTCATATACACTTTAATTGTTTTTTTTTTTTTTTTTTTTTTTTTTGTAATATTTTTTACTAGGGTTTTTGATCCTAATAATATCTGACGCACTTTACTTGTATGCATTATAAGCTTGGTTTACTTTTGTTTCACATAATTTTATTGTGTACCGGGAGATTCTGATTCACAGTAAATATCGTATGTAACGGTAATATCATGTGATAGTATCACATCCAATGAATAATCTTAATTTACGATAAGAATCACAACATTGTTAGATTAGTAAGAAATAAAACTTTCTTTGCAATTCTATTTGTGATTTTTTATTAATCGGTGAAACAATATAAGATTGTATAACCGATACACTCAATACTTTCTCATGATTCAGAAGGTTGAATGAGACTTTGGTTCTCTAATAATTCATGTGTGAGTTGGCTTCATCTTAATCAGTAACAACTATTCATGAATCTTTTGACCTTGTGTTATGGAATGGAAGCTTGAATTTTTTTGTTTTCATTTTACATTTTCTATTTTCCCTCATTTTAAATTATTTTTATTGATGTAGGATTAAAATTTAGGACTTTAACTCAGTCATACATACGTGTGGCATAAATTCAAAATTTTTAATTTTAACATGAGTTCAATATGTAAGATTTTGCTATAATTGGACAAATTTTGACTATACCTTTAAATGTGACTCGTGATAAATAATGGGTATAATGTCAATTAGTTAATTTGTTTTTATAGAACTATCACCAACCACTATGAGTATAGTGTGAATTAGTTAAAATGTCTATTAAAATTTATTTTTTCAACACTAATGCACTAAGCATATGATTAGACGTTTTGTTACAACTCACACATTAGTTAAATGTAATTAGCCTTCATAGGATAGGTAAAATTCATTTGATTGACTCTTATGATTTACGATTTTTTTCATCCATTTTTGTCGTTGATCTGTCATTCCATAAAATGAGTAGTATTTGAATGAATAATTAAAATAAAAAGTAAGGTTAAAGTGAAAATATGAAAAAGTGAATAGACAAAATAAATTATATACATTATAGTAACTTTTTCCATAAGTGAAATGTCTCATAACAACTAACATGAAAAAGTCCTCAAAATCAAATTGGACACACAAAAAAAAATAAAAATAAATAAAGTATTCCGACCTTAAAGTTGGGCTATGATGGAGTAATATTTTAGACCCGGTTATTTTTTGAGCTGAAATTGAGATTCAAGTTTGTAACCCAGCCCAGCCCAGTTCAATTTTAATATATTTATTTTATTTTATTTATTGATGTAATATATTAAAAATTATATAAGTCCTTTTTAGGGTTCAATTTAATTATTCAATTCTTCAGTATAGTAGTGTTCCCATTACAAGTTGGTTTATGATTTTCGACACTCTGCTTAATAATAAATTAATTTTATTATGATCTAATGATGTTTGTTGTGTATCTCAGCAAATTGGAAGTAATTGATACTTGGGCTTTCAAATTCACCAGTGGATTAATAGAGATCAGTGGAAGATGAGTATAGATATTCTGCTTCTTTCATGGTCCCAAGAATCTGAAATGTTCTGCTTTGTTATACAGGTAAACTCGATCGGCAGCTTGGAAATTATATTTACTTTAGGGTTGAGGTTAGGAAAATTCTATTTGCACACCAGAAAAAATCTCAATTTACACCAATTGTTTCATTCAAATTTAAATTTTCGAAAAAAAATTAATTATTCAAATATACATTTTATTTGACTATTTATGTCCGAACAACTACTTGTTCATAAGTCTATATCCAGACTTTTGATATTTGTTCAAAAATTTATATCCAAACAATATAAAAATTGGTATTTATTGAGATTTTTTTGTAATGTGCAAATAGAATTAGGCTAACCATAAGTCTGATGTTCAAGTTGGATTAGCTTAGATAAACACAAAATCTTTCATTAATTAGCGCAAGCCCAACTTAAATCCGACCCATGCTAGATGTGATATACGACAATATTCTCCCTTCTACTAAAACAAATTATATAATTCACTTTCAAATATTTTACACACAAACCAAACAATTATTCTCCTATGATCAATCAAATTCAGTGTCCATATCAACTGCTATAATCATATGAAAATCAAATACAATGAATGCATCATATGACATATAGTGATGTCAATGCCATGCCTAATAATGGTTACAATACAAACAAATCAAACAAATTAATGTATGAATCATCAAATAGACAACCAAATGGAAACTAAAATAAAAAAATTTAAATTTAAAAAAATCAGAGGATTAACAAGGGATCTGATCAGTGAACCATCTAATTATTTTGAAAGGAAGCTTTATGAGACCCATAGCCATATTTGCAATGCCCGTACAACAGCAGCAGCATGGGCACAAACAACTCAGCACTGACCTGTATTTAAAAATCCAAATCAATCATCATTTATTTTTATTTTTTCTCCCTAAAATGAAGTGCTAAAATTAAGAATGCAATTTTGATTCATAATCAGATAAAGCAAAGGAATTTGACTTTTCAGCAATTTTATGATCTGGGTTTCTTCAAAACCATCCATATGAAACAAGAAAGAAGTACATTTCCCTTGAAATCATCAGATACAGTTTTGCTACGTGCACATAATTTGTGTACAGAATACATATGATCGTTTTTTTTTTTTTTTTTTTTTGTATCAAACATAAATATATGTGTGTATGTGCGTATTGAATCTTCCAAACAAAGATAAAGGGCAGAAAAAAAAATATTTATGCTGTGTTTGGTTTGAGAATTTGAGGAGGGATTTGGAAAAAGAAAGGGAAAAGATGTGTGAAACTAGGTGAAATGTAGGTATATTTTATTCATATTTGACCTAATTTTTTCTTTTTCCTTTCTAAATTCCCATCAAAATCTTTCAATCAAACACAACATTAAACAAATCTTAAGATTGCTTTTGAAAAAGGGGAAATTATCGCAAAAAGAAAAGGGGAAAAGAAACATCATATTGCAGGATATGTAGAAAAAGTTAAATCAGTTGACTAGTCCAATGCATTATTATGCATATATGAGAATCAGTCAATTGAGAGGCAAAACCAAAAGGCTTGTCTGAAAAATTAAAATTAAAATTATAATTAAATCATTTAGCATACAAGATTGGATGAAGGAGAAAAGAGAGGAAAACAAGATACAGAACAAAAGTGAAATTGAGAGATTGATAGTGAATATGCTTACCCCAAAACCCAGATAACAGCACCAACTAGAGATAGAACTAATGCAACTAGAGCAAAAGGCAATCCCAACAAGAATCCCAATGGCCTGCAACCTCCTTCATCTCCCATTCTTCCAACTTCAACACAAAATCAAAACCCAACAACAAACTCAATAGCCTGCTCGTCCTCTCTCTGCCTCTTTATTATGAATATATTATGAATCAAAACCCAACTACAAACTCAATGGCCTGCTCTTCCTCTCTATGCCTCTTTATTATGAATTTGTCAACTACAAGTTGTTGGCCAATTTGATTCTGCAATCATATCCTATTAGGAGTAGGACGCGGGATGCGAAAATTAACTGCCCACTTTCTCGTACATTGACCATAGTACCCCTTTGAAAATAACACCAAAAGGGTTCTCTGCGTTGAAGCTATTGAAGGGCATTTCAGATATCTTCCAATTTCGTCAGAAGCTTCCTACAAATTTCTCTCCTGCCCGCGTCATTAGACTTTGACCCATTTTTCGAGTCTGCAAATTTAAGGGTGTCGATGTTGACCATTTACACGGTTAGGCTTCTCTGCAGTTGGATATAACAATTGGACGGTGCTATTGGGGTTCTGTGCACGGAACCCTCATTAATGATCCAAACTATTTAATATGTACAACTTATCGAGTACTTTATTTTTGTATAAAATCATGTTAATCCGATATCGAGAATCATTTGATCATATCAGATTTGTGTAAACAATTTATTGTGAAAATCATACTTACCGTTGTCACAAATGTGATCAGATTAAGTAGTTATTACTATTGGATCAACGTGATGTTTAGTAGGGAAAAAATAATTGACGAGTTTTACATATTGAACGGTTCAGATTATTAATGCGGGCTCTGTAATTGACATACGGAGGCCCAACAATACTCTCCAACCTGATTTAGATTCCAAATTGAAAATATACACAACCTCTAACACACGCATTTATTATTTTTTTTTTCTAATAAACTACGATTTTGCCATTTAAAATATGATCATTTTTTTTTTTACTATAATCTTTAAAAAATATATAAACAAAAATTTCCTTCAATTATAATTTGTCACATCATTCACTATACTGTTGTTTCATAACGCATCAATTTTTCTATTTTGTCCTTTTTTTTCTGGTCATTTGTGTACCTTTCGACCATATTTCTATAATCGATCGTCTCCCCACCCTCATTACAACCTCACAACTAAGGCCTATTTTAAGACCTTGTTTGGCATCGCCTAAAATAGTCAAAAAGTCACTATCCTATTTAAGTCACATCATCTTATTTAAGTCACATCACCTCTCTACCACATCACTTCAAACCCAACCCATATTTCATAAAAAGTAAAAAAGTGCACTTATTTATAACATTCCAAACAACCCCCAAAAAGTAGGTTAAAAGCCATTTTTTTTTAATATATATATATATATATATTGAAAAAATATGTAAAAAAAATAGAGAGATGATATAATTCAAAAAAGTCAAAAAGCCGATAAGCTTCCCAAAATAGGTCTAACTACCTCCTTTAACCAACGGGGTTAGTCCTGTTGGGCAGAACTCCTGCACCTCACTAGAAGGTCAGTAGTTCGAATCTCTCTCCCTGCGCGTAAATCTTATTTTTCGTGTATTACTTGGGACTCTCTCTCAATTTGAGAGTTTCTCTTTAAAAGTGTGTATTATCTTTGGTAGGCCCTGTTTGGTAGGGCTTATTTTCAGCTTATTTCAGTTTTTAGCTTAATTTAAGCTATCTTGATGTGTTTGGTTCAGCTTAACAATACAACTTATAGCTTTTTGTAAGTCAAAAATCAACTTATTCTTTGAGTGAAGGAGGAGAAACTTAATTTATAAGTCAAAAATCAGCTTATGTTTACAGTTATAAGCTATAAGTTGTTAAGCTATAAGTTATAATTACTTTCCCATAGCTCTACCAAACGGGGCCATTATTATGATTGTAATTCATTAGATTTCATTATAATATCTTACATGAAACAAATCTTTAAAAAAAAAAAACTACCTCATTTCTAATACACCACCTAATCTCCTTTTCTTAGGCCTCGTTTGGGAATAAGTTATTTTAGTAACTTTTTAACTTTTTACAAAAAGATATACAGAAAAATAGAGAAAGTAATGTGACAACTTATAGTGATTTTTGACTAAAACATGTATTCGCCAAACGAGACCTAAGTCTCCAAACTTCAATTATCGACTCCTTTGCTTCTCGAATTATATGTACCTGCTGTAATTTTTTATTTTTTGTTCCATCGAAATTGACTTTTCACGTTAGGTGGGTTTGCAGCTAGGATGGTTTTCAAATTAAGAAATTTTTTCATTTTAGTGCAAATTTAAAAAAATTACAAATAAGTGGTAAATTTTATACATATTAATAATTATAATTATAACCTTTTTTTATAAAACTATAATAATTTTATAATATTATCACTAAAATAGATGCCAAATGAGCTCAACAAGGCTTCTGTTGTTAGATGCCCAATTGGCAGAACATCTAATTCCCTTATTGAAAACGTTGTTCTTGTAAGAGTTGAACCCTCACCATCTCAAGCGTCTAAACACCCATTACATCACAATCATATATATATATATATATATACTAGTGGAAACCCGTACTATGCACGGACAAGTAACAAAAAGTGGTAAATAATACTAAATATGTTAAAAATTAATAACAAAATTTTATGATATTAATTTAGATAGGTACTTAAATAATAGATTTGATTGATCTCAACTAAAAAAGAAAAGGTCAAAGTGAGATTCTATAAATATAAGATAAAAATAAAAATAAATTAAGGTTGAATTTGAAGATAAACTATAAGAATATAAAAAGTGAAAATCAGATAAATCCTAAAAAAAGAATAAACCTAATTGAAAATCAAGAGTAAGAGTAGATCTTGTAAATATAAGATAAAGATTAAAAAAAAAAAAATCAAGTGTAAATGTGAAGATAAATTATAAGGATATAGAAAGTGAAATTTAGATAAATCCTAGAAAAAATGAGGTAGAGAGAAATTTAGTAAATATCAAATGAAGATTGAAAAAAAAAAAAAAATCAAAGTTGAAATTTAAAAATTCAAAAATAAGATAAGATAAACTTGATAAGAAAAACAACATCTGATACAACTCTAATAATATAAGAACTGGAGAGAATAATAGTTCAAAAATTAGATAAGAGTAAAATGCCACCTATAATTTTTTAAAATTTGTAAAAAAAGAACTAAAAAATAAGAACCGCAGTAAGTTAAAAATTATATAAGAGTTAAATGCAATATATAATTTTTTAAAATTTGTAAAAAAAGAACTCAAAAATAAGAACCGTAGTAAGTTAAAAATTATATAAGAGTTAAATGCAATCTATAATTTTTTAAAAATTAAATTTTGTGTAGTTAAAAAATAAACATTTATGTTAGGGAAATTTTTTTAAGGTCCCTGGTATTAAGATTTTATAGCATAAAGGACACTCAATATTTTCATGATATCTAAGGTCCCTCAACATCAATCCAGAGAAAATTCGATCTAGAGAAAATTCGATCCAGAGAATTTCTCTAGACAAATCACAGAGAAAATTTCAAATTTCTCTGGACACATCACAGAGAAAACTCCAAATTTCTCTGGATAACAATAAGGACTAGTGCTCTATTTCAGAGAAAATTGGGTTGGTCCAGAGAAATTCTGTCATTTGGACTGAATTTTCTCTAGGTTGAACTAATGCTCTGCTTCAGAGAAAATTGGGTTGGTCCAGAGAAATTCTCTAGGTTGAACTAGTGCTCTGCAGAGAAAATTGGGTTGGTCCAGAGAAATTCTCTTGTTTCTAGTGCTTTACTTCAAAGAAAATTGGGTTGGTCCATCTCTGGTTTGAACTAAATTTTCTCTAGACTTCTCTGCCCTCCTTGCCTCTCTTGGACTCAACACTCCAGAAAAATTTAAAATTTCTCTGACTTCACCGGCCTTCAATTGGTCAAAACGAATCTAGAGAAAATTGGTCAAAATGAATCCAGAGAAATTTGAATTTTCTTTGGGTTTGAGTGAAGAAGCTATAAAGATTTGAAATTTGAAGTGAAAGGGAGGGAGATAGAGAGAGAGAGAGAGAGAGAGAGAGAGAGAGAGAGAGACCTGATCTTCAACTCTTGCTTTGGACTGTTGTGATACCGAAGATCTCTGCTCCACTTGTCTTCCATCGCCAAATCCACAACCACAACCAACTCTCTCTCTCTTTCTCTCTCGACATCTGTCTCTCTTCTTTTCCATGAAACCTCACCAATGGCCGTTACATTAGCGTTACACTCATACTCACAGATACAAACACAGACGCAGACAAAGCCTCCTCACCCACAGTTTTCCCATGATTTTAGTGTCTCATTCATTGAACTCAGATTCTCTAATCTCTATAATTCATTGATATTATTGTAATCTTCTTTTCTGATTCTAATTGCGTTTCCTCAAACTCAAATATATCAATGCTCTCTACAACCTTCAAATCACTCTCAGACTCTCTAATTCAAGATCTCTATCACAAACAACTCTAAACTTAGAGAGACAGAGACAGAGATGTTGGATCTCAACGTTGATTTGAGTTGCAAAGAAGTTGAAACGGCTAAGATCACGAAGCTTCCGAGAAGTGATGATTATTCCGAAACTTTGATCTCAGTGAATCGGAGAGAGGGAAGAAGAAATTGTTGCGTACGAAAGAGGAAGAGGGACCTTGGACATCATAAAATAATATTGTGGATCTCTTCCATTACTAAAATTAGGAGAGGGACCTTAGACCAATTTTCCCTTTATGTTATCTTGTTATACAAATTTTAACTCTATTTTTAACAGTTTTTGTATACTAAAGCTATTTAATTACAAACAAAATTCAAGGATCGCTTTTTTATTTTTTTTAAAAAATTTGTTTTGTGTCTATAACCTATAAATTTCAACAACTTTCTTATTTTGAAGCTACTAAATAATAAAAAAAAAAATAGCATCACTTTTTTTTTTAACATCTCAGTTTGTTTTATTTTTACTTTATGTTATATGATAATATAATCATTTATTTTAAATAATAAAGTCTTAACCATAGAACGAGCATGATTTGAATATTTCTGTGGCAGTGACATATGAATATAAAATTCAACAATCATAGAAAAAAATTTCTTACTTATGATTTTTGTCTAAACACATAAAACATATTTATTCAAATTAAATTTTAAAATTTTGATCATTAATATGTAATGTGTTTATAATTTCAATACAAACATAGTTGAATAATAATTTTGTTTATTAGAAATTAACCAAACTTTTATCGAAGTTTTCATGTATTGTATCCAATCTGTTTAAAAATTAAACGACATTCAATAATATAATTGAAATTAACTATTAAATATTAATTAAGTAAAAAACATGTATATTGAGTTTTTGCTCTTCGAATGGATCCAAATGACCTTATCTACAATTAATTTTCATTATATATATATATATATATATATATATATAAAGAGTATTATGAGTTGAAAACGAAGTAATTTATTTGTAAATTCATTAAGGATCTTGAAATCCAATCTTGTGCTTCAAATATTCCTTTGTGCAGTTGGCTTTTTACTGCAAAAGAGGAATTTATCATTTAAAAACTTAATCCTACTCACTACATATATGAAAAGAATCAAATTTAAACTCATGAAGATCTCAAATAAAAAAATTAGAATATAAGCAAAAATATTTTAGAGCTATTGCATAATTAAGTTTATTTACGTTTGAATTTAAATTGAGCGCCCTTGTCATGACCCGCTCCCCGTACCTAAGGGTTAAGCATCGCGATGGTTAGTAACTGAAGTTACCGCTAGCCAATTCTTGAACAAATTAATAAACGCGAGCGGAAATAATATTTAAGTGAGGGTACCAAAATAATCATCGGAGTTTCTATTTTTATTACAAAATTTATTGATCAAAATGGCCGATATTTACATATAAAAATATCATAAAATTGTTGTGTGTGTCTATTCTGCAGCCCTGCATCTAAGACTTTCCAAAAGTTATTTCTGAATTGCATTATTTCTTGAAAATTGGTAATAGCTATGAGCACATAGCAGAGTGAGAAATATTATGCCAAGAGTATAAGAGATACAAAATAACCATGGATAGTTATGTAACTAAAATATTTAAGATAACTTAGTCTGAACAAATAATCATTTAAGTACCAAAACTGAGATTATGTAAATAAATAACTATAACCACAGTATCGAACAGAATAGAACAGAGGTTACAGGAGTGACAGTCAGAATAGAAGTACGGATTCAATAGGTGGCTCGTACAGATCATAGAGGTGGCTCTCACAATAGTGTAGCACTTATCTCCGCACAGAACAGAGGTCAATAGATCCATGACAACAGAGGGCCACAAAGTGACCAAACAGAGCCGATGGTTATTTAAGACTCCCAAGGCGTAGAAGTCCCGTGATGGTACTTACAGAACATAATTACTTATAAGGTTATAAAGTTTGGGCTGCCAAATGTGAGATTGCAGGTTTAAGTTTGAGAGCAGAAACTTTTTTTTTTTATTTTTTTTGGCAAATTATAACTAAGGTTAGGAGGTATGTACTTCTACCCCTTGTGGTTTGCCCTTTAAGCACTTCATGTTCCTGATTCTTAAATAAAGTTACCCTCATACTCTTGGATTAAATTGTAGATGTTATACTTTCTATCCAAATTGACAGAAAGGCAAGCGACATGCCTATTGTTCACATCATTTTAACTTAGTGCTCCCAAAGTCAGCCATATAAAAGGGTAAATCTTCAAGAGAACCAAGAGCATTCCAGAAAATTCAACTTTTAAGAAACTTCATAGTTCATACCTCACTATGTAGAGCAGAAGCTGCAGAACCACGATCAGCAGGATCTATGGAAAGTAGGGTCTCCATAAGCTCTAAGGCTTGTGCAGGGAAGTCCTTAAATGTATCTGCAACACAGCGTCTATAAGGCTGTTAGGGCTTGAAAATGGTAGCATGAGGCAACTTTGACTTTCTCCAGTATTTCTCAGAGGGTGAGCCACAAAGCTTAAAAATTTTATGCAACTGCTCAACCTACAAGGTAGAAACTACAAACTTACAAACAACATTCAATTCATATAAATGACAGAAAAGAAAAGACGTAATAAACAAAAAGAAGCACATAGGTAATGCATCCAATGGTGTTTAAACACATTGTAGGACACCTTTACAAGCCCAAGTCACCATGAGGCCAAGAGTCCGACCTTAATAATATTGCCAAGTATCATTTAAGAAGATGATATGTAAGTTAATTCCATGCCCAGTGATCATATTAAAAATTATATTTCTTCAAAATAAGTTAAAGCTTCCAATGCTTTTGAAACTATGGCTCATTAACACGCAAAGAATTTTTGTTGCCCTATAACAATAGATACACAAAAAAATATCATGTAATATACCTTATGATGATGAATAGACTCATTATTCAATGATGAACAAACTTGTGATTCCAAAGGGGTGGTCTCATCACCACCCACCCATAGAATCGTGATGTTGCCAAGGAAGTTTCCTTTGTTTGGGAAGGATAACGAAGGCTGAAGTATCTTCTAGTGAATAGAATATTGTGTACTCCCACAAAAATTAGGAGGTATATGAGAGATGTTTAGCCACCACAAACAAAGACCAATTGTGAAAATAATTATGAAGAAGTAGCACATTGAAAGTCTCAAGGGATTGCTTATTGAAGCCAAATAAGGAGCTTTTCTTTGAGCTTCAACACAATATGCAAGAGGACCTCATGGGAGGCGTATGTCAATTTCAATGATATAATCACAAAAAGAGTCAAACTTTAGGCACAGTCACAAAATTCAAATATGCTACAGATGAATTCTTTCCCTGGAGATAAACTGCTCAAAATGGTCTTAGTTAACCCACTCCTGGTGACAATGGAGTCGACAGAACTCTTTGCAAAACAAAACTTTTTTTTTGCTTCCAGGTTTCAGTATTAGGCTTAACTCAATTGATAGAATGGTTTCATGACATGGCAAATTGATAGAACTTTTCTTAGTTGTTGGGTTGTTACATGACATGGCAAATGGAGAGAAGACAAACTAGAGGTATTTATCAACCGAAAAAAGAAAAAGAAAAAACCCTACTAGAAGTATAACAAACTGGCAGTTAATTAGCTATGAATTGTAATGTGAGACAAAATCTGCTATAAAAAGGGGTGTGAGAGAGATGAGAAAATCAAGAAATATATTATGTGAAGTTGTGATGTATTGAATCTGCAGAAAATAAGAATTATTTCTCATCTTCTTCTTTGAAGCTCTGTTTTCTTTCTTTTCCTTCACTTGATCTGCTCATATATACACATTCCACTACTCAACCATTTCTTCTTCATTTCTCAACAAATTCTCATTGTTACATAATACACAGTGTGCATCAGTTTCAAGTCCAACAAATTATATAAATTTCACTTTGGCATTTTATCAAACACTTTGTGTCACGACCCAAACCCGCCCCTATGGGTTAAGGCCATAACCGGCCAGTAATCACGAGATTACCTACGGCCTCAAACCAAATAAGATAAGACTCATCAGAGTAAAAGGGGCCAAACGGAAGCAAATTTAAAACTTTGTCCATAGAGCCGTGCCTATATGCACACCATAACATTCCATACGTACATATGTTAATAACTCACAACAAAAAGTGTAATGACATAAGATTCTATACAGACAGGATCATCCAAACTAAGTCAACCCATGAAAACAATATACAGACATGTTCAAAGACTTCGCCAACACGACAACATAAAACAAAATGACAAAAAGGCGAAGACGAGTCTCGTGCGTGAGACGCAAGGGCTGACTCTTCAAA